ATGTTATTTATTACGTCCTTTACCTGGTCTGTTAAGCACATTTCCCCATCTGGGACAAAACAGGAAGTAAGGAAGGGTTAATGAAACATTGTAAAAGTGAGTTCATACTCCTCCCCCACCTTCCACTTTGCCTGTTCCAGGCAGTGTTTCACATCAAGTTACAAAGTAAACATGTAGCCATAAGAATGTAGCTTTCCTCACATGCATGGTTTTCTCATGAGAGGGAGATAATCAAGCTGTCAGTGAATTAAAACAAAAAGAAAATTACAATGGCAGCCAAAGTCTGCTGGCAATTTGTTTTCTGAGGTTTTTTTACCTAACTATAACTAAACTAAAAAGTTGGCAGAAATCTGCATTTTTGTTCTTGAAAACCTTGGACTTTGATATGGAGTAGGGAAGTTCCAAGTATTAGTGGTAAAAGAGGGGGTTGAAAATGATGCTTTAAGGACTAAAAAAGGCATACAAGCATAAAGGTTTGGTTCCCAGCAAACCTGTTTACTCCTTTATCATATAACCGGATTGGAATTTAAAATGGGACAAAACGACAGATTTTCACATTTTATTGTAGCACCTTACTGCAAATTAGCTCTGAAATGTGCTGTATTATTCAAAACGAAAAAAAAATCTTTATGCATCAAAAGCTTAATAAAAAATTGTGCCATGTGTCATACATAAGATTTTGTTTAGAAAAATGTGAATATAGCGATTGCTTTCTGAGTAAAAACTGGCATACATTTGTCAAGCACTTTTCTAGCTCAACTTCTACTGGAGATCTACATCCAGCTGGGTGATATGTGGCAGCTATTTATGTGTCCACTACCTAGCTGATCAACTGAGAAAGTGAGAAATTACTTCACTTCACTCAATCAGGCTGGTAGTTTCGGGAAACCAGATTTCATGTAACTTAGCTATAAGATCAGGGGTATGACCTCTTGAAAACACAGTCACTTTATGTGCTATAGGATGTGTTACGCTTTCAATGAGACATTAAATTAAGGTCCTAGCTAAATGAACGCTAAAGAACCCATAAGTGGGTTTAATATTCAGTTCAACACAGGGCCACAAATGACACAAGGCTCAGCTCAGTAGTAAAACCTACCTACTATTAGGTGCTTAACTGCCACGTTTGTCCATTTAGGGAGAAAAGCTATTGTATATTCTCCATGTCCATTCATGTGAAGTTTTTCAGAAGATAGCGCTTCATTCATGCTGAACATGAAACCATTTATACTGTGACATTACAGAACTCTGAGTTTCATTTTTCATTTTAAAGGTATATTGTCTGTTAATGTACCTGCGCAAATAATGAATCAGTTAATGACGATTAAGACATTATTAACTGCGATTACTCCTCTCAAGACCATACGTTACTGGAGTTGAGCCTCATACATTTGAGCTCTAAGATAGTTTTCCCGATCTCAGTCACAGAACATGCTTTCTATATGTCAGGGCAAACAGGCAACTAATATAAATTTGGAAAAAGGACTTCCAATTTAAAATGTACATATTTCAGAATACATTTAGAATATTAGTGGAAAGAAAATACATTCTAGGTTTGCTGATAATAGATAACTAATTCCTCTTTCTATTCCTTTCAGAAATCCTGTAGATGAGAATAAACACATTACTATTACCAAGCTATCAACACCCAAATTATTTTTAAAAGTGATCAGAGGAAT